GTATATGAAGAAAGTTCAATATATGAATATGTCATCATGATATAAGACAGAATTTGAGCATTGCTCTTAAAGCTTTGAAAAATGTATTTTACTTAATTCAGAGAAACAACTTCTCATTGGTCTTTAAATAATAAAAAAAAATATCTGGCTATGATACAACATTTTTCTATCACTACTGAAACATTATTTTATTCTTAACCCCACGTTCTATTCTAGAACTTTAGCTGGAACTTTTTTGACTAGATAACAATCAACAATTCTATTTCATTATTCTTGTCTGCTATGCCTCTACAACACCAAGGTGGAAAGTTTAAAAAAAAAAAGGATTCGGAGGTTTTATTTCTCTATTAACTTGGAAATTATAGTATGTCACATATAATGTAGTATAGAATACATGGAAAATATAATTTCCAAGTTAAGAACAGATATACATATACACAGTTTAAAATAAATACAGGTATAACATTGCCATTTCAAGATCAATAAGAATATTTTATGAGTTATTTTGACCAACAAAAATATTTGCTTCCATAAAATATCTTTTCTTATCATTTATGCAAAATTTGTTTGTCTTTAGCTTAATATCACAGGATATGCAACTTATATAATTACTACATAGAGAGAGAGAGAGAGAGAGAGGGAGTGATTTTTTTATACTCAGTCTTCAGTTCACCATCACCAGGAAAATATTAATAATTGGTTGATAATTACATATTGTTGACCTATAAAGTTGATGATAACAAGTGCTAAACAAATGTACAAAGCTTGTATTATTCATTAGCAAGACATTCACAGTGCTCAGAGATTTATACATAGGATTTTCACTTGTTTATTAATATTGCTGGGATCTTTGTAAATGAAGTACATGAACACTGTAGTGAAAAACTAAAAGGCATTATTAGTTCCTGAAAAAATAATTATTTATAATGAAGACTCATTCTAGGCATATTTCAACTTTATTTTTCCTATTCATTTTTGGCACTATAAAAAGGGTAAACTATAAAAGTAGTTAGGTATTTAAAAGACAAATATACCACTCAATAATAAATAATTTAGTAAATAAATTTAGCAAATATCTACAAAGTGCTCATTATGTTCCATGCCATGTATAGATACTAAAGTCCCAGAAAGTCTCATTCTATGATCTCAGCAAGCCTATTGTCAGGGGAAAAAAAAAAAAGAGAGAGAGAGAGAGAGAGAGAGAACTACTCCACAGAATGAGTGTGATTTTTAAAGGCAAAGGCAAATTTTCTAAATTTATGTCTGCTCTTAATTTCTTGGGTAATTTGGAGAGCCTATCTTCTTTTTTATATCAGGTTTTATTAATATAGTGATGAAGTATAAGTCTGGTATACCAATCTGTCAGTTTGGTTTCTTCCTTCACACACGTGCAGGCTAAGGCACTCTGACATATCTGGTACCACTACACAGATTATGAGTTAAACTGCTTTATTTAAATTCACACACCAATTTCAGTTTTCCAGTTGTAGATTTCTTCATAAAAAGCAGAAAGCAGAACAGGAATGAAGTATATTCCTCTGAAAAGGAGGCTAAGAAAACGATCTTTGTTTCGTTCAGGGGGTTTGAGACCAGATACTTTTAAATAAGTACTTACTTGTGGACTTAGTGAATTAGTATCTTTGTGGAGTACTGCGGGCCATCAGTGTTTGCTAGCAAATGGTATCAAGTATTGCTTATTAAAAACTTGAATTAGTTCTTTAAAAACAAGCTATAACTACAATATTAATAAATCTTTGTAAGATCACCAATACTTTTTCTATAACTAGTTCCATTTTGCATATTACTTATAAGTCCTTGTTAATGTTGCAAGATTTCACTCATGGATGAATTAAACGGTTTTGTATTTTTTTTCAAAATTATTATAAGCCTTCATAATGATCATTTTAATGGATGCATATTTTATTGTGCCAATATACAATGATATCATTTTTTTAAAGTAAGAACTTAACAGTGCTCTACTCTACACTTGATCTTAGCCAAAAGGCTGAGAAGGAATACAATGCTCTACTATCAATAGACCAGGAGAACCAGTAATGTATGTTAATTATAAGGGCACAAATGTGATTAATAGTAATAGTCAATTTAATGTTTTAAATACTGATATCATGTAATAAATGGTTTTAAATAATTGTAGCATAAATACTTTAAGGATTATGTGAATCTAAAATAATGAAAAAGATTTCTGTTTGACTCAAGAATATCTTAAAGTTTAGAAAGTTAAACAGCATACTTCCTTTTAAAAGTTAACTTAGATTTACATAAAAATTTGGAAAAGAATAAGATATAAACCTCTCAACTAGCACTTTCTTAAGCACCGGAAAAATCATTATCTTTCCCAGTTCTTTCAATTTCTGTCAGAAGAAGCATAGAGAGAACTATATATTTTGGTAATTAATTTCCTTAAGATAATGTTAGAAACATCAGGTTCTTTAAAATATAAATGAATTTCAAGGTGAGCATGCTAGAGGATAATATTAATGGCATATGATTTATTGTGACAAGAGATCTGATCTGAAACACCATTATTAGGAGTATTTAAAAAAATCCATTTGCAAATTCCTCAAAATACGAAAGAGTGCTATGGCTGAACGTGTCTCAAAGTTGAAATCTGAAAATCTGCCCTTTTAAGTATAAAATAGCTTGTGCACAATATGTGGCATGTCTTCCTCATAAAAATTTATTAGAAAATTTTCATATTCTGAATATGTTGCATTATAGTTTAGGGAATTATCTAAATAATAATAATAATAAATAATAAATAATATTAATAAATAATAATGCTTGTAATTCTGAGTGAAGACAATCTGCAAAAGTACAGATTGAAATGTATATGCCTAACTGACCTGGTAATATATGCAATTTTAGAGCTGTTAACTGAAAAACAGATAATACACTGAGCATCTACTATATACCTGGCATTCTTTGAACTCACAATAGAAACATGTGAGCTGTGTCAATCTAAAAGGTGTTTTCTAAAAAAAAAAAAAAAAAAAAGTGTTTTCTATATTATCACTATTCCAAATGAAATATTCCCTTTAAACTATGCAAGATTTATTCATCTCTCAAATTTACAAATAAGCTTCAATAGGATGTAGTTTAACACCTTTTAAATACATTGGGATGTACAAACACATTGCTGTACATAGTATTCAACCACACATTGGGCAGTGAGGAATGTCATAAATTAGTACTGCAATCAATAATAGAATTTAAGTATATATATGTGAACAATAGAAGTCTTATTAAGCAGAATTAAAATTATTCTGGAGAACAGATTGCACTAATCTCAGATACTTGAGAAGGATCATAAATAATGGCATTCTTATATATAGTATGTCAATTTGATTATCACATAAATATATTGATACACTTTCTCTATACTTTTAATTCTCCTTTCTTCCCTCTGCCCTCATCTCTTCTGTTTCTCCCTTTCTCTCTCTCTCTCTCTCTGCTAAGTTTGGAACCCAAGTTTTTTTTCCCCCAGGTATTTCTTAAAGCCTTAATGGACTTTTAAATTGTGAAACTCCTGGATGGGGGACACTGCATGCCTCATTCTCAAACAACAATTATTTTTTTTTGAAGTCTATTTTAACATATGAATATCAACATATGAATGCTGCATGGGATGGCATTTGAGTAAGCATAGGCTAGATTTTGTAATATGGTTTTATGTACATTAACAAATACGTTCATTTTTAGGACATTCAAGGTATATTAATATGTGTTGAAATCTACTATAAGGTGAATATGATTTCATTGTTAGATCAATTTATTTTCATATATCACATGAAACAAAATTAAATCTTGTAAAATGAAAATGTCTATTCTACTATTCTACACACAAAGAAAACTTACAGGTACAAAATTTAATGAGATCGCTACTAAATTTTATAATACACATGGCACAAAATTCACACAAAAAAGTATACAGTAAAAATTTAGTCTCCACCTCAACTATTTAGTTCCCTTTTCCAGGAGCAACCAGAGTTAAGAGATTTTTGTGAATTCCTCTAAAGATATGATGTGCACATGTACATACTCATATATACATTTCTTCCATTTTCTATAAACCAAAATTGTACCTGGCTGAACTATGAGAGAAAAGGCAAAACATAATATCATGATTTATGATTTCCATTGTTAAACTAGCCAAACACAGGGACTATAGAGACTTGGGCTTTGAACATTAATATATAAATCACTCAAATATCTGCATAGAAAGGCAGATTATGATTTTCTAACTTTGTGAAATGAACATAGTAGAAATGGGTATAATTGAAGCAAAGATGATTCACTTTTCTGTCCCATATTTCTAGGGGGTTGAGGGGAGATAGCCCTATTTCTGTCTAGAAATGGGAAAGATACAAAACCAAACCCTCCCCTATGTCCTTGAATATCCAAAAAAGTCAACATCTACATTTGGAAGGGAAAAATGTGTATTACTATAGTAGCAAAACTAATTCTGATTGTCAAGGCTCTTCTCCTTAAAGAATAAATCTTTAAAATTAGTTTATGTTAGCATTGATAATTCTCTGGTTTATTTTCCATTTGGTTGAGGTCAATACTGGACAGACAGTACAGAGATGCCAGGGCTTAACTGATGCCTTTGTAATACACAGTCACTCAGCATTATCAAATCACAGTCTCATGTTTTTCTTTGGGATTTAGGATGATCATCCCTCATACCCTTAGCTATGTAAAGACTTCCCATGAATCTTATTATTTTCACCTTATATACTTGAAATTCTTATTTTCAACATGAGAATGGACCAGAGATCACAACTGCATTCCTCAGTGTAGTCTCATTAAAACCAAAGAGGAAAAATTAAATTCATTTACACTTTTGTCCCAATATTTACACACACCCCAATGTTATTCAGCCATTATATGTAAAATGTTTTATACCATATAGTAATCCTTTTCATGACATAATTCATCAACAGCAACCAAAATTATAATTCTATCATTTGTTACCTTACCTACTGTTGAATTTTTCTGGGTGTTTTTCTCTCATGATGTGGAATCTGTGTGCAATGGAAGCATCCTAAGGAGAAAAACAGAAAAGTAAAATGAAGCAGTTGATGATCCTACTATCTTGTGGAAATAAAGATTAAAAGACAAAAATTAACTAATAATATTTTTAAAGTAACTCTTTCTTAACACTATCACTGCCCAGAAGATAGTCTGAAATTAGGCAGAAATGAGTAATCTACACAAATTCAGTGTGTGATTCATGTCATCATTTCACCACTGGTTACTTGTCACATTGACTTCTAGGAACTGATTTGTATTTAATTTATGTATCTCCTTTACTACTTGGTTTTGGCCTCATGATCAAAGTATGTTTAAGAGAGTGTCCATGAACATAAATGTTAAAAGTAGTTGAAAATATTGTTACATGTAGCTGGAAGAATGGCCTAAGTAGAGGAGTAATCAGGTGGAGTATTTTCTAGTCCTGTGAGATTAATTATGAGTAAAAAAATAGTATGAGGGTGCATATATAATAAAGTTAAGTATAATACAAGACTTCAAAGTTTGCTGAGTGTCTTGAATGTGTAATTATTAACTGTTCACTCCACAAGCAACTTTCTGACATATCTTATCTTGCTTAATGGAGAAAAAAAAGCAACAAAGAGAAAAAAAAATTATTTCTAGAAAATTGATGACAAGTGTAACTAGGCTCTGAGACTCCAAATGCACCAGTTATGAACCCTAATGGATTTCTTTCTTTTAAGAAATCCACTCAGAGTTTCATTGAGACAGAATCACACTGAGCATGGGAGATTGGTGAAATAGTGTGATTCAAGCTTTTCAAATACAGACTGTCCTTGCTGACTTTAAACAGTTGCCCTTGTTATAGTCCAAGCAAGAAGATATTTTCCCATTCTTCATCTACACAATTAATCACGCCAATGAGAAACTAATATATTTACCAGTCATCTCAGTAGAAACAGGGCTACTGTTGCGATTAACTGTTAATTTTGTTTCATAGTGCAGATTAAAAAAAAAAGAAAGAAAACCAAACACAAAGGAAATAAAGAAGTTGTGTATTTGAGAGAATCTAGAAAACATCAATCAAGGATTAAAAGTCTAATGAATGAAATGAAAAGGCTAATGTGCTTACTCATGCATAACAAAGCATGAGGCACAACAAGAGAGGGACCAATGCCCACTGCAGATGGCAGACTGAGTTGCTTTCCCTACAAGATAAAGCTGTAATAGCAATTTTTCCCGTACATTTTATCCTCTAAAAATCATTAAGGAATTGAATTAATCCACAAGAGAAAAGGACACAAAGATACAGACAGGTGTACATAGAAGCACTTAATAAAAAGTTACCAAAAAACCCCTGTATGGTTTGATATTGTAAGATATCTTTGTTATATATACATGGTCAACTTCCTGGTTTGCTAAGAAGTAGGCATATCAAGATGGTTCACTTTTATTGGTTCAATAGCTCTCAAATCCAGTCACAGAGTGTCTTCCTTTTTTTTTTGATTCTCACTAATAAGTCATAAATATATTCTATCTTAGAGTGTTGTCTTATTGTGGTATGAAATTATAGATAAAAATGTGAGCTGGGCTCTATGATATATTATGTGCCTTGATCATTAATTTTTTAAAACCATTTATTTTGACTTTATCCCTAATCTGGTTCAAAATCAATTTGTAACACCTTATAATTAAATGCATACATCCAGCAGACCAGTTGAACCAAAAGCAAAGGAATATGATTCAAGTCCTAAGAATGGATGGTCAATTTTGGTTATCCATAGGGAGATTATCATTGAACTTACTTCCTCTTGAATTACTTGTTCCTGCTAATGTAGAGAACTGAGATTTTAAAAATAGACTGTGTAGACTCATTTGCTTCACAAGCATCTATTTTTGCACTAACAGATCTCTTCCTTTTCAAAGCAACATAAAAAGGACGGGGTGGGGGAAGAAGGAAGGAGAGAAAAGGGAAAGAAGAAGAAAAGAGAGTATCTGAAGAAGATCATTTAATTAGACTGGATATAACCGAGTAACCTCCCAGAAATATAGAACACCAAATAGCCAAGGATAAACTGAATGTTAGCTCTATCTCCAAGATACTTGGGCAATGGATTACGTGGTAAAAGAGGGGATAAATAAAAACTAGTGAGAAACACTGGCATGCCTTTTCCATGTGTTGAATGGGTTTCACCACAAAGAGAGTGTTGGCATTGCTAACTACAGGATTGATAAGACACAATGACAGCAGGTGTTCATTTGGATGAGAATTCAGACCAAATTCCCATGGGACCCTGTCCCTTTGGCATAACCCCAAGAGGCTTAAAAGAGAACTGCCAAACACTGTAAAGTTATCCAGCAGCCATATTTCAGAGACACTTAGGACTTCCTAATAGGAGACCAAATAAGAAAAAGATAAAGTAATGTCAGGTTTTTACATAAATTTTGCCCCTTCTCTCTCTATGTACCACACTCTTAAGGGACAAAAATTAATCAACATAATGTCCATACCCAAGAATGGACAAAATTTAAATTTAGACAGACTTTTACTTCCAAGACTTGTAACTTTGAGGCAATTACTTATTTACTGTAAGTTGCAGCTTCCTTATCTTTAATAAAGGTAAATGATACTCCATTACAGTATTTTGGTGAGATTTTTTGAGATTATTTTGTATAGCTGAGGTGTTCATATATTTTATATCCACTTCAGAATTTTATTGAAAGTAAAAGGGGATTTTGAAATATGTATTTAATGACTTTCAAATTGGTTTTATTATTTCCTGAAATATAAAATACTCTTATTTTAATTTAAAACAAAATCAGATTTAAGAAATAAAAATAAAATATACCCATCTTTATTAAAGCAAAACAAATTTAAATATGTTAATTTTCTAAGCAGCAGAAAGTACTAATACACACACACACACACACAATATACAAATATTCATATATCAGAGAATCAGCTTCTTAGCTGTCACTGTTATTTTTCTGATGAGTGTTTCTTCTTTTTCTATAAGGGCTCATTATTTTATTTTTTAAAAAATAAAGTCACTCTAAATCTCCAAAGTTGCATTTTGAGTTATTAATTTAAAATTTTTGACTATTTCTGTGGACAACACTGGGTTTTTTTTGGATCATAACAATTTAAATTGAGAAAATACTCTATAAGTGCTGAGATACTTGCACCTATAACAAATTCTACTAAATATTTCCAATGGGTTTTTTTGAGGTATTATTTACATACCATAAAATTTTTCAATTTTAAGTGTACCATTCAATGAGTTTGAACAAAGGTATACAATAACCACTTTCATAAACATGATATAGAAAATTTGCACCACCCCAAAATGTTCCCTAATGCCCTCTGCATTTATATACTTTTATACTTAACACATATCCCCACCACCACCCTCAAAAGACACTGATCTGCTTTCTCTCAACATAGATTTCCTTTCTAAAAATTCCTGTAAATGGAATTTAAAAGTACTTTTTTATGTCTGGCTTTCTTCACTTATTGTAATACTTTTAGGATTCGGCCATTTGTTCCAGTATCAGTGGTTTGTCAGTATTCAATTGAATAGACATACCACAATATGTTTACTTACTAATTGTTGGCATTTGTCTTTTTATGAATAAAACTGCTATGAACTTCTGAACACAATTCCTTTCATAGATATATGTGATTATAACTTTTGAGTAAATACCTAGGATTGAGACTGCCCAGCTGTATGATAAAGTTTAAATATAACTTTATAGAAGACTACATTATTTTTCAGAGTAATTGTACCACTTTGCATTTCTACCAGTAATTTTTGAGAGTTCCAGTTACTCCACATCTTTACCAACATTCCACATCCACAACAACCCTTGACGATTTTTTTAAATTTTATCATTCTAATAAATATGCAATGGTATCCTTGCTTAGCGTTAACCATTTGAGCCAGCACCATCTGCTTCACTAGAGGGGTCAATTCTGATGAAAATATAAGATATGAAAGTTCTGGTGTAGACTTAATGGATGTTTCCAGCTCTACCACAGCCATTCATCCGTGAAGCTCTTATACGTTCTCAGCAATGAGCACTCTCTGGAATCCCACCTCACACAATTACCCTACATACAGCTTCAAGGGTTTTAAAGGATTCTTCTTTTTCTATTAAATTTCTCTGAAAAAGATATGCAGAGACTATATGCTTAGAATCTCCCTTGAAGAACTTTATTTAAGCTGTCAAACTGATAATGATCTTTTTCTTTGGTTTAACTAAACTTTAAATAAAAAAGTTAAAAATTCAATATATCATAATTGTTTAAATAAATTTTCCTTATTGTTTACAGAAGTTGATTATCTTTTCATATATTTTTGTCCATATTTATTTTTGTGTGGAGTACCTAGTCAAGTCCTTTATCCATTTTGCCTATGCACATTAAAATAATTATTTATATTAATAACCATAATGATAGTGATTATTAATAATTAAATATTTACTACTCTTAAGGCACTATTTTAAGAGCTTTACATGTAGTATTTCATTTAATCTTCACAAAAAAAATTTGTAAAGATTTTATTCATTTATTTGAGAGAGAGAGAATGAGAGAGAGCACATGAGAGGGGTTAGGGTCAGAGGGAGAAGCAGACTCCCCGCTAAGCAAGGAGCCCGATGCAGGACTCGATCCTGGGACTCCATAATCATGACCTGAGCCGAAGGCAGTCACCTAACCAACTGAGCCACCCAGGAGCCCCTAAACTTCACAAAAATTTTTTGAGCTGTCTACTGTTATCTACATTTTATGAATGAGAAAATAGGATTATGGATTTTAGAACCCTTCTAAACCATACAGAAAAAGCTGTGGAACTCACAGGTGAATACAGGTAATTGCCTTCAGGTCTTTTATATTTTTTGCTAGCATTGAGAAAGCCATGTGATTGTAAATATTCCCCCCCCCCTTTTTTTTTTTTTACTTTTTTTTTTGTTTACCTTGTAGTGTTCTGAATTTCTGTATTTCATACATATCAACCCTTTTTTGAGTTTTGAGTCATTTTTAGAACAGCCTTT